GGCCCGGACGCGAGAGGTCGCCATCGCCGATCACTTCCCTGAGGGCACGGCGGTGCTCAGCCCACGCAGGGCATTCTCCCACTGTGTGTTCCACCGTGTCCTCAGGGCGGTCCTCGCAGTGATGACACCCGGGCGTTTCCTCCCGCCCCATCAGACACAGGTACCTCCCGAAACTTCCATGTCCGGTGAGGACCTGCGTCAGGCGGTAGGTGAGGACGCCGTAGCGTCTCTCAAGCCACTCCTCAAAGAGGGGACTTACCGCTGCAATGGCAGCGAGCCCAATTTCTTGCTATTTAGGAGTATATTTTCAGGGAGTAAAAGTATTTTTATCCCCATATCTCTATAGGATTGGGACCTGTTCGAGAAAAATCTTGTAAACTCTTCTTAAGAGAAGCCACAGGCAAAAAGCTAGTGTACAATATCACGCTCAAATATCCATAGATTCGCATTCCATTAAACTATAAGGATAAACGCCTATAAACAAACAGATAGGTACAATATTCAGCGAATGTTAAATTATACAAGATCCAAATCGTTGGCATGAGGATCGCATTAATATTGCGTTGTGAATTCAACTCTCGATATGAGTCCGAATACGTTGTAAAGGTAAACGATCCTTTGTATTGTATTCGCTGTTGATATTAAGATGTTAGACTTTGTATATTTCCTTTAATTTTATAAGAAATTTTCTTTTCTTAGAAATAGATAGAAAGAGTAGTTGCCTCGGCAGCTCTTTTACTGCTATACATATTTTAAAGCGTTTCGATTTGAATCTAGTGAAAAGAGAACTGTAAAGTTTCTAACAGGCGCAAAGACGTATCTTTAAACTTTACTCGTTTTACAAAAATACTCTTTAGTTTTATTCCACGTACGAATACCTATCAGTTGTAATGTCCGTTCAAGATAAATGTCAAATATTGAACTTGACTTCCAATTAATAAAACTGAATTAGATACAGTTACATACAGGGTATATTGATTGGATTCTGCATTCGAAGGCCCGTGGTTTTACATCACGTGGTAAAAAAAGCCAATACTATTATTTTTCTATTTCAGTTTGTCCCGCTTAGTTTGTTCCGATTTACGTCATTCCATATTGTTCGTATTTGATTAGTTCTTTACGTAGTCTTAAGTTTGGATGGGAATAAGAGCTTTGTCTCGTACGAATATGTTACATATTTGCATTTTTTTTTGTAGTATATTTATATTAGTTGCTTCTGAAACGTAATACCAAGCTGTGTAGTTCAGTGTTCCGCTAAGTCTTGAGTAATAAAATTTTTGGTTTTCTTTCTATTAACACTATTTGTAAGAATATCGCTGCATGTAAAAATATAATGTTTCTTTAAAGAAGATTGAATGACTACTAAGTTACAACTAGACTAATAAGAATTTGAGTTCACGTAGGTACTAGGAAAAGTTATTCATTTTCTCATTTTGGGTTCAGTAAAAGTTGTTTGTTAAGTTCAATACACTAGGCTGACCTCTTTAAAAGTTAAGGTTAAACTAAAATTGGGGCTGTACTATTGTAGTCGTATATCAGATTTAGTTTATTTATATCGCCACTTTACAAAGCTGTGGGCGTGGCGGACCATCTTAGTACTTTCTGTGCAAAATATTTTGCACAGCGCGCAATGCACGAGAGATCGCGATTTATGCTGAAGTACAATAATTATTAATGTGTCAAGTAATTAGTTTTCTTTATTGGCTTCAGATTTCTGATACTTTACACAAAATGGCGTCAAAAATCTTACTTTCGGTCGTGATTTTTATTTTTTAAAAATTCATTCTTAACTTTTAATCTTCATATACAAGCAAATAACGTCCTTTAAAAACATAATATTATAGCAAAATCCATTATTATTTGTATCGGGAAAATGCTACCACCGGTAATTTCTGCACCTAGTTACATGTTCTAATCATAACAGTGTGGTATCTACACCAATTAGCTTCTAAATGTCGGTGATAGTATAATCCTAATGGAAATACATTTTGAATTATCCAGATTTTTGACATGGGATCTAGATAACGTACCCGAGCTAATTAGATGCGTGTTATCTAAATTCTGACAATGGATCCCGTTATCTGTTCCGTGTATTTAGAAGCGTGTAAAAGATAAAAATGACATTAAATTTGGATAAAATTCATATACAGTAAAACATACATAAAAACATACGAGGTATGTATAGTAAAATTGTTTATTATTTTGTAATAGGGGTTAAATAAATAGAAAATTAATAAATTATTGATTTATTTGTTTATAGACTTAGTACAAAAAACACATGTATGGGTGGACTTAATGCCTTGGGCATTCACTTACAGTCGACCTTTAGGTGGTGCACAGATGAAATTGGCAGGTGACTAAGCTAATATTAATAACTACATATATATAAATACTTAAATATGTAAGAACGTACTGTCTGTAAAATCAACTGTCCACGATGCGTTGTTGCCGCTTCCTTGACAGTTTTCGAGCATGTTTTGTTTCTAAGCAAAATGCCAGCATTTGTCTTTTGTAGGCCGCCTATTGCGCGGGCCTGCAGACGGCGAGCATGGGTGGCTCGCCGCTCGACCAGAACCAGACCCGAGCGTAATCAAAGAGCCATCAGATCACCACCGATTTGGCCCAATAGGGCTGATGTCGATACGGAGTCGCGGAGAACCTAACGGGTTACCGGGGCTCCGGCTCGAAGTGCAGGAGTAGGAACGGGGTGGTTTTTAGTCAGTAAGAGTCTGACACTCCTTCCCGCCTCACCCATGCGGGAGCAGTCATTCGATGATTTTCCGCCTTAAAAAAAGGCCGCCTATTGTCATTTGTCTAATACATTCCCCTCATCCCTGAATCCCCAACAATCCTCAAACTCCTAATCCCCAAAAGGCCGGTAACGCACTTGTAACGCCTCTGGTGTTCCAGGTGTCCAGGTGGGCGATGCCGATTGCTTACCATCAGGTGATCCGTTTGCTCGTTTACCGGAATATGCTATAAAAAAACACATGTATTCGTCGTGTCGTGGGCGATAGGCTTAGTTGTCATGTTTTTTTTATGCGATAGGAGGCAAACAAGTAGACGGATCACCTGATGGTAAGCAACTAGCGCCGCCCATGGACAATTAGAGGAGTCACAGGTGCTTTGCCTTGTCTTTGTACATGTAGACATACATACAAAGAATTAGGCTATTTTTTGATGGAGTCGATGAAAACAATGTAATATCACTTATTACGATTTTACATAGAAGTTAAAGAACTTCTACCACATTAATTGATCAAGCCATTCAACTACGCTTGTTAAAACTTGAATTCATACTTCTTAGTAGAATCATACTAATACAAGATAAATCCATACCATAAATTGTGAGAACTAATAAGAAAACTTTATGAGAAAAACGACGTCTGACATGATATTTACTTAGTGAAAGTAAATAGACAATATAGTCGTCATTCATCGGTATGTTCAAGGTACAGATAATAATATTAAATCATATTTGATCTCGGAAGTTATGACTACGGATTTACGATATTGCATGTGTCTATTGTTGCGACAAACGGCAAAATGTTCGTTCATTTGTGCAGCTTACTGACACTATTTGAAATAGTTCTCAAGTAAGTAAAAGTAGATATAATAGAAATGAATTCAAATCCCATAAGATACAGGAGAAACCTAATTTGGCTAATGTAATATTAAAGTATAATTAATGTAATAGGTATATAAGTTCAAATTGTTTGTGGTCTATCGCTAATCGCTATACCATTGGTTATGTATTTTAATAAATTATTAAATTCTATTAATTACTTACTAACCCCAGAAAAGTGTTTGATTAGTAGGAAGAGAACTCCCGAATTCATTTTTAACTGAATTACATTATCAATAATACCTACGTTCGTAGTTCAAATTCTATAGCCGAGTCAGTGCAAAATAAAAACAAATGACGTATCAGTGACGTCAGATACAAAATGACAAGGGCAGAAATATACCGTGTTCCTTTTCTAAATCCAAATTATTGCCGCCTTTAATGCAATCCGAAATAAAAACAAATGACACATCAATGACGTCAGACCGAAAATGACAAGAGCAGAAATATATCGTTTCTCTTTTTAAATCTAAATTATTGCCGCCTTTAGTACAATGCGAAATAAAAAAAATTACAGAAGCTGATCGCGTTCTTTTCTGAATTCAAATATTGCCCGCCTTTAGTTAATAGGTACAAACTATGTCGTGTTTATGCTGTGGTTCAACGTTTTACGTTTATTTATTACTTATACATCCTTTGTTGAGACAAAAATATTCATAGTTAAAAAAAATGCTTTTAATTGCATGCTCTCATCAAAAGGAGAAATTGACATAATAAGAAATATTTTATGAGCTCAAACTCGATATGTTTACTAGTTAGCAACCCATCAGCCACCTTTGAATTCCATGATTAGACCAGATCAATTGTTCCATAATTTATTGTATGGTCCTAATCTATAAATACAGTTAGCATAATTGCCAAGTTTCATGACGATACAACAATTACACAAGTATGTGTAGTTCAGATTTCTAGGTTTTATTACATAGTTACAGGTCGACCTAATAAAAGCGTTATCTAAGCTGATAGTTTAATTCACGGTATGGATGTTATTTAGTTTAATATTGTTCAGAGAGGACCATTCAAACTCGTTTGACAAATCACGTATTTTTGAAAGTCTGTCATAATTCACTGGCAGAAAGCTATTTATATACTCGACTAGGTTTACAGCCTCATAATGCTACAAAGTAATGTAATTAAGTATTCTCTATTTTAGTCAATCTAAGTTTCATTCCTTACAAAATTCTGTGGCATGCGCCGTCGATAAACATGACAAGTTTCATAGATCATACACAGCACATAGCGCATAGCTGACCTCTCGTAATTTGCGCCGGGCCCGCCTAAACAACAATACGAGCAAGGTGAGGCAACCTGCGGAAAGGGCAAACTACGCAGATATAAAACGTGAACATCCCTGCGATCCGTATTCCGAGTCTAGCACCGGTGTAGACAATATCGACAGAAACCATCTCTCACTATGACGAAACTGGTAAGGAATTGTTTTATCAACGCTTTTGTTACAAGCTTTTCGTCTGTAAAACCTTGTAAGGTATTCGCCGCTTCAACTTTAACCTCTGATAAGGAGCATCCTTCTGTAGCTATCTGATGATAGGCGAGCTAAAATTATACTAAACATGACAGTTAAGGACTTTTTTGGATGTCCAAATTGGTCTATCATATTTCAAGGCTTTGGCGCAAAAGGTATTAGACCTTTTTTGGGAAAGACTATACGCCAAAATGCAATAAAATAATTATAACCAAACCGAATATTTCTGTAGTGAGTTATCACCTAATTCATTGGACAGGTTTAGTTAATGACCATAGCAGATAGAAAGTGTTAAATGAACGTGTAAAAGTTTAAACAGCTATTAGTTTAGTTCACAGTGCATACTAATTGATGCTTTATATTCTAATTCTAGCAATGACAAATTGGGGCGATTAATCAAGTTGCTATAACTTATACCTTTAGTGGACTTCACACAAGATATTAATATCTATGTTTCCTACTGTCACCTCAAATTGGGGCCACTTGGGGATAGGACATTAATTTATTGTTCTATTTAGTCCTAATTTAGTCATCACTTCCTTACTTGTATCCCACATAACCATGATTGGCCATTATATCATTCAAAATCATGACGTGTTTACATATAGCCGAGACTAATTACAATAAATTCTTATAACGTTAATGAAAAGGATTTTTCACTTTAAATAAGACCAACAACAGAATTTGCTATATACTCTCTTTACGAAAATAATAAAAATAATATTACAAAAGTATTGATGATACAGTTACAAGTACCTAAGCGTGTCACACAATTTATTATGAAACGCTTACTGACTACCCTAAACAAAATGTTTCAGTTGTTCGTGTGTCTAGCTGTGGTGAGCTGCGTAGGCGCCGCTCGTTTAGACCACCTGGTACCTTCAGGCTACGCCGGCGGCCGCGCAGGATTCGATGCCACGCCCTACCACTACGAAAATGTTAACAACGGCGATGGGAACTATCGTTTCAGGTAATGTCAAGATGTAATTGTTAAAATTATTGCAATTATGTTTATTTGAGTTCAAAAGGGTCAAACAGTTTAAAAGGAAGTTGCTATTAAATAATAATTTGGTTTGCCATGAGTGGATGGTTGTTTCTGATGAAGGACATGGCAGTGATGAGGATTTTTGATTTAGTTTTAGGAAATAGAAGGGAGTATGTTATGATTAATTTGATTTACATTCGTAAGTGATGGTCTGTAGCGAGAATAGATTATATTATTTATTTGTGACAAACCTCTATAACTTGATTTTAATATTCATGGTGTTGTTTATGGAATAAGCCGGTAAACGAACAAACGGAACACATGATAGTAAGCAATCGGCGTCGCCCATGGACACCTGAAACACCAAAAGCAAAATTCGAGGATTTATGGGGATTCAGGGATTGAGGAAGGGGAGGGGAGATAATTGGGCTTTCGGTAACCTCACTCACATGATGAAACACAACGTTCGGTTGTTTCACGTCCGTTTTCTGTGAGGTCGTGGTATCATTCCGTTCAAGCCAAAGCATGGCTCTTCCACACTAGATTGTTGGAAAGAGAATATCAACACCTTAAACCTAAGGATATCAGAAAACTACATATATCAGCAGTAGCGTTTATAGTTTATCACTCAGCGCAAGAATTGCAATTATGTTGTAAGTACCTTGTTAGACGAAAGTGCGTAGGCTAATATGGTCCTTGTTAACAGATGTGTAGTTATTGCTCCCAGTCAGTTAGTACTCGTAATTTACCGTTTCTGACTGAAGCATCTCGATAATTGCAGATATAGATAACATTCCGATGTGGTCGTGGGAAACTTATAACTTATACGTAGTCATTAGAATTCTAGCGCACCTCGTGTGACTGATCTTTTTGTTAAGAAGTGCCTGCAGTGTTTAAACTTATAAAGAGTACAAATGGTTATGATAATATACATTTAGAGTTGTTGTATGTTATTATACAAAAAGTACCTTTGTAGTTGAACCATTGCTTACCATAGAGTGATTCGTCTGTTTACTTGCCGCCCTATCCTATAACAAATCCTATGTAGGTTTTGGATTCTGAATGTTAAAGAACATTAGTTAAAAAAAATAGAGGAATTTGTCGCTGCGCGTTTAGGACACATACGTTTTAAGACTATGCTGCTTTAATTAGTTTTACTTTGAAAATTTTGCTAACTTTTTCATTAAAATTGCAGTAGTAAATCTTGCATCAGCAAAGAACAATAATGTTATCATTCTGATATTACCCAATAACGTTATGGTACTCATTGATGACTTATCATTCCAGCTATGACACTCCTGAAGGAACATCAGCTCACGAGAGCGGGTCACCCCGTGCCCAGGGTCCCGAAGGGCCCGCAGTGACTGCCGAGGGAGGTTTCTCGTTCAGAACTCCTGACGGACAACAGGTGTCCCTCACCTATACCGCTGACGAGAACGGCTTCCACCCCACTGGTTCTCACATCCCTACACCACCTCCGATCCCAGAAGCCATCCTTCGCTCCATTGAGTACAACAGGCAGCATCCTTCATCGTGAGTTTTTTTATCTCTTTTTATTATCAGCCTTTATCCGATCAGTACACGACATAGAACTTTCTAACAGTATGCGTATTGTCAGCCACTTAGCTGGGTAACTATGTGGTGTCACGGGTTCGAGTACCGCACGGAGAGACCACGTTTCATCAAAAAATTGTTGTTCCGGGTCTATGTGTATGTATATATGTGTGTTCGTAAACACACCCGTAGCATAAAAAAAAGGTGTGGGGGTAACGTCCTTGTTACTTAGAGTTGTAGTCCTATGTATTACATTATCCTAATAATTTTTTTTTCAATGTATTGTTTCTTACAATTGAATATGTATTGAGTAGTGTAATTGGTTTTTGTACAGTTCTATTACTACAGATATAGCAAAGCTTAATCATTTATAAAAAAATCTAAAGGTTTCTAATTTTTCTATTTACGAAATGTAATAATACTTTCCACAAGTATTGTAAATGGGGTTGTAGCGCCATTGACCAATGTTATCTTCTATACGTTTACTCGCTTAATCAATAAAAGCTGACTTAAAGAGTCATTAGAAGTAACAGGTGCGCCGATCGATCGATGTTTGGGTTACACTGTGAATGTTGTGGTAGGTCAGTGAATGAATATCTTTCACAGTCTCCAGTAGAAGGAGTATTCAGCGATACAGGTACCAGATGTAAAAAAATCTGGATCTGTTACGAGACAATAAATAGTAAAAAAAATGTAGTTGACGATACAATGGTATATTATTATAGCAGTATCAACTAAATTTTTTATATTAAAGCTATCGATTGATACGTAGGTAATATGATAAAGTAAATTAATTTTATTTTTTGTAAGATATTCAATACATCCTGATTCAGATGTCAAAATGTAATATTTTGACCTAGATTAATAAATAGAGCTAATTCCCTGTTATTCAAATTTCAGTGATGCGGGATCTTTCAACGGCGGACGCAACTACTACTAATACTGGAAGTGCACAGCAAAATAACCCTTATTATAAGGATCAATAAGGTTTATGGATTCTAATTGTATTAATCCATAAGCTTTATTGTTCTTATCCCGTACCTCTCATGGACTGTGATATCGAAGTAACGAACAGTTACAACAATGTTGCTATTTATTAAACACTGTATTTTATGTAACTGTTATTTTAATGTATCAGATGCATATTTTTTTTAATAAAGAATGTAATGCTCTGTATTTGTTTCTTGCCTTTTTTAAAGATAATATAATTAGTGGTAAAGAGACTAGTAAAACTATAATCGAAAGGTTTGTACTTACTTTCTCCTTTTTTAATCATGAAATAAACCAAAATATATTTTATAGATAAAGAACAGAAATGGTGTACGCCAACGCAGATTAGACCACTTGTACTGTATTAGGTAAATTTACCATCAACTGAACAGAACTAAACCACTTTTTAGGATTCATAAAGGATTAATTCGTACAAAACATTTCCACTGATTCCCGTCAACTGGTTTACCTTACAAAGCTACTCCTACGTTTGATTCTGACCTTTATGTATAGGGTACACGTGTATACTGTATAGTCAGCTTTTGGTCTCTTTGTAACGATTTGCCATATTGGTCATAGACTGTTTGGTGATATGTTTGTTTTTGTACAGTCCAGTTCCCTTAATCAAATGACATTTAAGAAATAGTCGAATGTATGAACTTTACAAACTACATCTCACCTAAATAGCCGATTAATAGAAATAATCTATGGTAAAAAAGGGACACGTGAAGTGAATTCGACACCTCCTTGTATTACGTGAGAACAAAGAGTGCACATTTATACAATATCATACATTCTTATGAAAAATGGACTAACTTCATTGAGAGTGACAGCCCACTGCTGTACTATGGGAGTTTTCTACATAAGAGCAGGGATACGGTTGGCAGGCAGGATGGAGATCAACAGGAACAGGGGGCTTACCTACTCTTGAATGCAATTCCGATCGATCGACATTAGTATTTCAAAACTTCGTACTCTTTAGTTGTAACACTAGCGCCAATTGCATCCGTATTGCGTAGATATTTAATGAACTAAATTGTATTGAGTTTAGCTTTATATTCCGTTCTATGAATGCTATTTAACAGCTACAATAGGGGTTGTATAGTTTTGACATTGATTATTTATTGAGATTTTATTAAAATAAAATTGCATTGATATTGAGATCGGTTTCAGGATTGGTTTTAAGATTGGTTTCAGGTGTAGGTTTATCAGAGAACGCTGCCTCTTGTCTTTACAGCCCCTTGGTAGGCTCTACTCTCTTATGGTCACATAGCTTATTCCATCATCTAGCGACTTACACCTATATGACATTAAATACAAAACAAATACAAATGCTACAAGTAAAATCGGGCTATGTACCTCTACAATGACAATTTCAATTCAAGTGACTTATGTCGGAATACTCAAACGCTATTCAATTTTTTTCAATTTTAAGTCGTGCTTAAGTATAGTTCTGTCTCTATTAATTCTTTGTAAAATGACAGAGATGGCACGATATTTGAGCATGACTTAAAATTGAGTAACGTTTCAGTATTCCGGCATTAGTCGCTATAATTGTCGCACACTTTACACTCGACGTGTTGAAAAACCGCACAAAAGTTGCTCTCTGTTAAAAAGATACACTTGACGTTGGTCGGCCATTAAAAGTTTCCAATGTAAAATGAAAGTGCCACTACCTTTGGCACGAGATCCGAGAATTTTCAAAACGAAACTATAGTATAAATGTGAATCATTAGAGGATTTTAGATTCTGATGTAATACACATGTGAATGAAAAAAGCTTGGTGCTTTTTTGTGGTGTACTTTATGGAGAAGTCACATTGGATAATGATGATTTTAATAAGCACCTCACAAACATACACATATTTAAACAATAAATAAGTACTTTTTGTTTTTAACAATAACTTTACGAAGAAATAGCATATAAAGCAAATATAGTTGATACTTTGGACTTTGGTGCTGGTTTAGCTGCAGTAATCTATTGTCTAAGCACCTATATTTTCTTATAATGTTCAGAACAGTTACTTAGGGACCACTTTGGCGATGGTACCATTGATCAGATTTCATAGTACGAACTCCTTTTAAAAAGTCAGTTACGAACTCAAGATGATTTAAAAAAAAGGTTTAGACTTTGGGAAATGTTTAGTAGACGTTTAGTATGTATTTGTAAACGTAAAGTAGAATAGTTAGTTTTATATGGAACTACGACTGTTTACTAAATATTTTCTGATTGGGAAACTATTACATTACAAAGAAGTATACTTAAGTACCACTGGTTTTAATCTAGGACAATCTTTTAAGGCCCTTTTGCTGTCGCACATGTTTTCGCTGTCTAATGGTCGTAAATATGACTATCAAACAAGAAGTTTTTGAGCAAAAACATACTCTATAACACACCTTAGCAAAATTTGTTCACAGAAAAGATATTAAGTCTGTATGTCATCGTAGATCCGGAGACCAGGTCACGAAATAATTCAATCGTCATCAACCTGTTTGTCAGTATTGGTAACAATAATTTCGGCAACACAGCAGGAGGCAGTCACATCGAAATGTCAAATACCATTACCAAAATATTCTTCACAACTAATACGCCCAGTCTTTTATCGTGCAAGGTTCTTCGAAGGGTACCATCAGTATAAAAACTCAATGATATACTGAAGACATCATTCAGTGATCAATATTCCATTGAACAACATCACAAATTAAAAAGAATTCAAATGGCTGGCCTTAAGGTAAGTGCGTTATGGAGATGTGTGTAAGTGTTTTGCAATCTAAACCGCATTATTATCTTTAAAATGATTGTCGAGGTCACATTACAAATACTGATCTAACATATCAAAGAACAAATTTTTATGTGTATTTTTCTCTTTTATTTAGATTGTCTCGCTCTTTGCTCTCTTGTCCGCGGCATCTGCCGGACATTTAGGTCACTTCAAAGCCCCCTCTGGGTACAGTGCAGTTGGATCAAAATCTAATCATCATTCATCGGCTACGGCGGCTGCGTCAGCTTCAGCTAACACCAACAACTTGAGAGATTTTAATTTTGTACCAATACTCAATTATGCAATTGATGCTACTCCTGATGGCACCTACAGATACAAGTAAGCTAATTTTTATGTACGAACTCATTAAAAATACTCATTTAAAAATTTTCTCCAAAGTTAACCATGATTTCTTTTTTTGTTAAAGCTGTAAAATGTTTTATGGGAACAAAAGTGGCCAAACGGCGAATCATCAAATATATGAAAAAAAAACAAATGAAACGTTTTCCTTTGACCTAAGATGTAAAAATTGTCATCTGTAACAGTTACGACGCGTTAAATGGCATAGCAGTGCACGAAAGTGGAGCTCCACGTGCTGCTGGTCCTGAAGGTCTCGCGGTGACAGTCGAAGGTGGTTTCTCATACACCGCCCCTGACGGTCAGGAGGTCTCCCTCACCTACACCGCTGACGAGAACGGCTTCCACCCCGTCGGCTCCCACATTCCTACACCACCTCCGATTCCAGAAGCCATCCTCCGCTCCCTACAATCAAACGGGCAAATCCCTTCATCGTGAGTACCTAACTTATTACTTTGATAAACTTTAAAAGCATAATAAAATAAGTTTGTTTGGTCCAAGTATAGAAAGGAGAATAAGAAAATAAAAAACACCAATTGGGAAAAATTTAGTTAGAAATGTATGGTTTCATCATTTTCCACCACAAATCCACATATTGACAACAAAAAAAAAAAAATCTGAAAAATCGAAAACATTTCTAATTTTTAAATGTTTTCGATTGACCTCTGTATCGAACACTCTTACGATGTCGCAATACCTGTTGTTGCTGAAGTGGTGTCGTTACCGCCAGAGGCATTGTTCACGAGGTATGTGTGGTAGGCGTTAAACGATTGCCACGAACTCATACCGCACCATATCTGACGAGCTATAAAACTCTATTACTTACTTTCAGCCTTTCGCTTAAATGCCAATTTAAGCGAAAGGCTTGGTTACCAAATTTACCAACACATGCCTCGAAAGTACTTAAGGAATGAAGCAATTTTTATTTCTCATAATATATGGATTTTTTCTAAACCTTCGGGAAATAACGGCATGGTGTTTGTTTTATTGAGCTTCTGGCGTGCTTGCCAAATATATCACTCATATATTTCTCCAAGGGAATTGAGTACGATGAGTTCTGTAGTATTTTCTTTTCATCAGTTGTGAATAAGACTAAGGCATCGTGTTCAGAAAGCATGAAGTACTTATAAAGGGAGGCCTTTGATGATGCTGATGGTGATGTTGTTAAATCTCTGTCTCTTGAACAAAATATATTCCACATTAATAACATTATTGTTTCATGTTTTCAGTGGCAACGGTGCGTACAACGGTCACTACTGAAAAGCCATAACATATCTACACAGGACTAAACTGCTTACTACCCTGTTTGAAATCATTATTGTACAGAGCGTCATTATTTACTTTTAATTTTAATGTTAATTTATTATTGAAATAAAACTTTGAGTTTAAAAATACCATTTCTCTTTTTTTAAAGAACATGTTTTCTGTTTTCACACCGAACCTAATCGGGACAATTCATCATTATGTACTTTAGTTACAAAGTAACATTTTTGTAGCGATAAGAGCCTGAAATGATAATAAAGTTAAACGTAAACACAACACGGTAGTACATGATGAGCTTATTGCAATACAAGGACACGATTGTATAGTGTATCTCTAAGATAATTTGGAATAACTTAATAAAAATATTTTACCAAACTCGATAATATAATCCGGGGTCAAGAGACTCGGAGAGATATTCAGTGATTTTTGATTTTCATCTTTAATTAGTTCAATATTAGGCAGGTTATTCTGCGAAAAGCAGTTTCAATCAAAGTATGTAGGTACTTTTTACAAACTAACTACAGCCTTTTCTTAGTATTCAAAGTAAATACTAAACAGTCGGATAAATATTAGAAAAAAAATAATTATGTTAAATTGATTATTATCAATAAAAAAAGTAAGAATATATACCTCTACGAAAAACACAGCTGGAAGATTAAGAGTAAAACAAAAAACAAACAATCTATAAACATTTTTTAGGGGGAATATCATCCAATGGCTTCTCCCTCCTTGGGTTAGGCGAGAGGGAGTGTTCATTGGAGTCATCACTGCTCTTCGAGCTGCAGCCCCGGCCTTAGGCCTTCTGCGGCTCAGTATCGGGTGATGCCTTACTGGGCACCATCTGTGGTGGTCTGATGACTGATGGAACGCGACCAGGTTCTAGTCGAACCTGCGATGACTGGGGCGTATGAAGGTTCGGTCCCTCACGCGCTCCGCCTCCTCTTTCGCAAGGATGACTTCTTCGCAGAAGGAGGAGACGGCATCCCAATCCCCCTCGCTCCGCACCATTGCCTGAACCAGAGAAGAGTAACTAACGTATGAATACTGAAAGGCTACTCAATTTTAAATTGTACTTAAGTGTCATCTCTGTCACTTTACAAAGAATTTGTAGTGACAGAACTATATTTGAGTGCGACTTAAAATTGAGTGATGTTTGAGTATTTCAGCGTTACTCTTCTAGTGGGTTTGGGCGCCGCCGCAAAGTATTTGCGCGAAGAAGATGCGCAGCTCGACGTATCGAATAGAAGCGGCGAGGACGGCACGCATCCATATCACATATCCTTCCATATACAAAATATACATTACACATAACATCACGCCTTTTATCCCCGAAGAGGTAGGCAGAGGTGTACATTATGCCACTGTACAATGTAACACCCACTATTCATGTTATGAGTCCCATGTAATAGGGGGTGAGCCTATTGCCATATACCGGGCACAATTCCATACTCCGTGCTATTACTGAGAATTTATAAAAAACCCAGTAATACTTTGCCCGACCCGGTAATCGAACCCGAGACTCCTTTGCGCAAATACAAAAACAAAAATGTACAAAATATATTTTAGTTTAATACGTTTCTACGAGTGCTATATCTAACAATGAATATGATTGGCAATACGCAACGGAAAAGCGCCCTAAACCTGCGATATCCAATCTACCTTCCATATACGAAGATTTAGTTTATAAGAATTAGATTATTTTATTACGAAACTTTACAAACAATGACTTGTTTGAACTAGTCCCCAAACAAGGTTACTCCTTTTAATCAAAATATTCTCATATAAAATAATTAATGTAAAACATAAAGAATTGTTCCGTGCGGGAATTGCACCTTTTTTTTTGATGACGGGGGGAAACCTTCAAAAGGCGCCCAGCCTTTTTGGGGATAAAAGACTAGGGAGTGTGGGATTTTTACCTCACTAAAACCACCCTGGTGGCCACCCTCAACACCTGAATGGAGGCACCGGGTCCTCTAAAAAAGACCTGCTCCGGCGCCTCCACGGTGCAACGCCTGTTACGACACATCCCTAGGGAGACGGGTGACGGGAATCGCACCTGCTACAAATTCTGTAGCAGCTGAACGTGGTGCAAACCGTGTGCTAAACAGTTCATTGATGTATCTATCTATACATACAAATAAATAAAATTGGAGCGTCTGTTTGTAATATTAAAACAACCGCATTTTTAACCGCCTTCAAGAAAAGAAGGAGGTTCTCAATTCGACCGTATATATGCTCATTACCACAATAACATATTTTAGAATTTTTGTCTGTCTGTCTGTCTGTCTGTTTGTACTGGCTAATGGAACGGCTGGACCGATTTTGACGGGAATTTTATTGGCAGGTACCTAATGTACTAAGGAGTAACATAGGTTATTTTTATTTTGGAAAACTGAATAATCAAAAAAGTTATATCCAAAAATTCATATTCTACGCGGACGAAGTTGAGTAGTATATTCTAAGTCAACTCGTTACAAACAAATCTTTCCTGTTTATAATATAATATTAGTATAGACGATTTCATTAAAATGTGTTTTTAATAAAACCTAGCTGTCAAAGGCTTTAAATAAAACAAACGGTGAATGGTAACGGTACTTTTAGTTCTTAGTAAAGCTCCACTTTAATTAGTTGCAATGCTATTTATAGTTTCAGTCAAGCATATTTTATAACATATTGTTGAATAGTTTTTCTTTACTTTATTAGGTAAATTTTGATTATGAACACTATGAAGTATCAACCTATTCATTTATAACTATTTCATTCATAATATGGAAAGTAGATACAAAGTACATAATTACATAGGTTTACATTTCAGGAACAATGTTTAATAAATATCAAAATAAATGAGAAAGTGTATTCAGTATTTCATTCTTAAAACTTATTAAAGCCCATAATAACAAATAACATGTAATAATGGAATAAATAGTGATTGATGCTTATAACAATGGGTGCTATACATGTTCGTTCCGTCCGGAGCCGCAGTCAGTCATCGATCGCGATGTATTCAATAGTTGTAGCCGTGGTGGTAGCGACCCTCGCCACTGAAACAAACAATTATAAAGATCCTGAATTTGTAACTGACATACGCTCAACTTAGCTAAACTTGGCAGATAACAATATGTCATGCTATAATTAGAATCAGTATGTGCTTCCTTAAGTTAGATAGTGACTACAAAGCATCAACTATTACAATCCTGTCATATGTCTTTAATTTTCATTAACTTCATGTATACAATATTATCATTGGTTCTTCTTTATTGTTCATTTAAGAACTTCGTGAACATAAATTGTTAGATACTGGTATCATAGTGCAGACACTTATTGAATAAAAGAAGGGGAATATTGAACTGATACATAATAAATTCATCTGCTGTTTAACTCACGATGAACCATGTTGTCTGTTGTACTCAATGGAGCGGAGGATGGCTTCTGGGATCGGAGGTGGTGTAGGGATGTGGGAGCCGACGGGGTGGAAGCCGTTCTCATCAGCGGTGTAGGTGAGGGAGACCTGCTGGCCGTCAGGGGCGCGGTACGAGAAACCACCCTCCGCTGTTACTGCAAGACCTTCGGGGCCAGGAGCACGTGGGGCACCACTTTCGTGAGCTGCGATGCCATTTCCAGTCTCGTAGCTGAAAAGTGGATAAATTGTAATTATTCAGTAAATATTATTATTTTTAGGGGGGAGACTTTTTTTTGAACCATGGTTGTCTTCCTACTGATAAAGTTACTCTACTGTTTTTGTCGTATTTTATACTTTCAGGAAAAAATGCCAATATTTTCATTTTGACTTAAAGTAACTGATTCATTAGTACTGTACCTGTATCTGTAAGTGCCATCACCATTGTTCACATTCTCGTATCTCAATATGGGGATGTGTGCCCCATATCCGCCATTGTAGGCTGATGCTGAGCCAGGGTTGTAAGCGCCCGCACCGAACGCATTGTATCCAGTAGAGGATTGGAAGTTGCCGAGGTGGCCAGCTGACACCACGGAGAAAAGTGCAAGGGTTGAAACGATCTGAAAGTAGGTGTGAAGACAATTTAAGTATATTTTTTCTCAATAAAATTTTGAGAAAATGTCTATGAACATTTTTGTTATGAAAATTGAACTTTATCATGGTACGTTAAGGAAAAGTTTTTTGAGAACAATGAACTTTTGTATAACGTTATAATTGAGTTTAAAACTTTAGTTGAAATTTCTTAAAACAAATCAGTTATGCGAAGTTATTGCTCTACTTTACCTTTAATCCGGCCATTTTTTGGTTCTTATTTTTTCGATGAGATGCTATTCCGTAGAATACTATTCACTGAATGATATCTGCAAAGAGTTAGAGTGTTTTTATATTGATGTTACCCTTCCAAGAACCTTGCACGATATCAGTCAGGGCGTACTCAGTGATACATTCGGCATTCCGATGAGGCTACCCCCCGCCGACGAGATGATTGTACCAACACCAAATTCAGACAATGATTTTATTTGGCGTTTATGTCAGTCTCAAGGATAAATCTTGCTCTTCTTATTTAGAACTCTCCGCCGAGAGCACAAGGTCAGAGTTCGATTGTCTCGGCTACACAATTGGGCGTTAGAGATTTGACCCGCAATAATGTTGGTAGGGATGATTTTTGAACATAAATAGAGCCTCATAAAGTGTAACATTGAAGTCGTGTTTTGAAAATGTTATTTTGTTACTTTTGTTTTGTGCGATACATTCTAGAGTATTGTATCAAAATTATCTAATCTTAAATTACACATAAGGCAGTCGTTAAAGTTGATAGAAAATGTTGATCAAAAAGCTATACAACTTTTGTTTATAATTTCTCGTTTTTGACAAGTGCTGCACATTATAAGTACATCTATTAATAAATAATATTTTATTAATTACAGAACTATTCAATTGTTGTAACATATAACATGTTAGTCAAATGACTAACGATACTCAGCTCTTGATAACATGTTGCTTGCATTCACTTGAATGCAAGTAAAGAATTCGATACCCGGATTGCACAGAAACCCAGTAGTGTACTGGTCTTTTTGAATTTAGAATAAACTTAATTAATCTTGACTTTATAAAAAATGATTACATTTAATACGAGCTCCTCTGCATAACCCTTCGGGAAATATTATACGATGTTGTGTTATGTTGTCTAGAAAATTAATTAGATATTTATATACGTATACAGGGTGTACGCTATCGAAACAGCTGACAAAAATAAATAAGTTTTTTTAATTACTTTCTAGTCGAGTGGTCACTTGTTAAGAGGCTAGTACGGTATGTGACAGTAACTTCAAAACTTATTAAATGCTCTTATAACATCACTACCGAAAGTGTTCATTTTAATGCTCTATTATTTTTCAATTACAGAATAACACGACAAGGGTGATAAAAACTGATGAGATTGAATAAAAAACTTAACAACGCGGAATGCAATCTGAGTGCTGGGGTTATTTATAACTCATATAACTAGATGTACTCGTAAGCCGACGATATCTGCTACTTAGTGCTAAGTATCCACACCTGATATTACTTAATGGCTTTAGCCGGTTTTACTCTCCCCGGGGTACAAAAAAGTTTGCTACTCACGTCAGCGACGATCTAACAAGCTAGGCAGGATTGCAATAGGTTTTGCTTAATCACAAACATCGAACAACTATGCAGAAAAGTAATCTTAGAGCCCTCGTCCAAATTACAACTAAACGTACGCCTAAGTGTATCTTACAAAATAACAGACTACTGAAGATTAGCTCACAGATACTGTATAATCAGATTACATAATGAGCTGCAATCAACAATGCCTGATGCTCTCGTGGGCGCCATATTCCGCTGGATCGCGCATTTCACAAGATAAAAACATTTTAATGTGCAGTTTACTACTACCAGTGTTCTGGACCATTTAGGAATTGTTGCAGTGCGAAATTTGCAAATGTTTCGCATATTTGTACGTTATCTATTTTATTTCTTAATTTATACGCATCACCGTAATATAGTTTTTTGTGTAAATTGAGCTCCAGTATGTAATTAAAGCTTTTGTTAACGACTGTAGGTAATATAAATGCAAGGCCGAAAGACTACGTTTTTTATATGGCAGTTAAGTAGTAATTCCAAAGTATGACATTTTGGGGTAAGCGTAAAATCGAAAAAAGCATAGGTAATAATATCATTGATTTTTCAATTGAGAAATTTTTAAGTTTATCTTTTGAGTACCTATAAATCATCTTTAAAAATGTACACGACAAACCATTATAGACCATCAAGGGTAAAAGAAGCATTGTGCAACGTGACTCGAAAGTTATATATTACCTAGTAGAAGAAAATATAATGTCTGTTCCCACATAGAAACAGTCAGGAGGACCTCTGTCTGGTTATCTTTTTGACGTCATTGCATGACACCCACGTCTGAAACGAAACCCGTGCCGAAGGGGTCGCGACACAAAACTTATGTTCGCGTCACAAACCCGATACTATTGAAATATAATATTACTTAGAAGTCAAAAACTTCGCCTATTCTTTCGAAACTTTCGATCTATTTCAGAGATTTAGTTAAATAAGTAGATCTTCTTGAATCTTCACCTAAAATTATAAGGGCAAAGTTTTCTCTAGTCTCTTCGCGAAGTCCTATTTACAAGGAATATTATTTTAGGAGACAGTAAATTTATTATTTGTTAGTGCTAAATGTGCTAATGTTTCAAGGATCTTGAGGTTTACATAAAAGTGCTATTAATATAATTTAGTCTATTGATACCTACTCGTGGCTTCTGTTAACAGGTATTGAGTGACGCTACTAACTTCTGAATGAAGTTAACCTTTCAGGTTTGGTATTGTTCCCAACAGTTCTGTGTTTTTTTTTACAATTTGCCAAAAGTCGTAAATTGAAAATAGGCGTTTTGACAGGTGACTGGATCAAAACGAATGTTTTGTGTACGCTTTTCATTTGTTTGTAACAATTATGGATATTGATCAAACAGCGCTAGTAACGTTTTGGTTCATGTAATAAAAACTAAGGTTTTTGGGAAAATTCCTTTTTAATGACGAGACAGTTGGGTTTGGACGGGTTCGATTCCCACATGGAGCAATTCTTTGTGTGATACAAAAATTGTTGTTCCGGGTCTGGGTGGCGTGTGGTGTACTTGTATGTTTGTAAACGCACCCACGACACAGGAGAAAATCCTAGTTTGAGGCAACGTTTTATAAATAAAATAATTACGCACATTTGACTGCATCATTTTGTCATATTGGAAGTAACCAACTTCTTACCCAAAAAAAAGATAAACACAACAACTGTTAACCAATTACACAAATGAACGCCGTTCATTAGGACTCATGCAAACCGCATTTCCCAAAACACGTGCCGTGCGGAAATATCAATACCCGTAATAGCCAGTAAACTAGTGTTAATCTGACAATTTATGCTTACTTACTTACTAATATTATAAATGTGCGTGTGTCTGTTCGTCTGTCCAATTTTGATATTTCATCAATGGCCGTGGTTTTTAAGTGGAATCAGTTGAAGTAAAAAGAGAGTGACATTACCTAATCTTTGTTTCTTTCTCACTTCCCATTCCCCTAAAATAGGGGGTGAGAATAGCTTTTCACAATTTTCAAAGTATAAGGCTCAAAATTTTTATGAGGACAATTTGTTACTATCTGAATGTGAATCTGCCGTCAATACTTAAGAACGCAAGCGAAGCCACTGGTATAAGCTCGTTCCTAATATTTTGAAAGCTTTCAGTGTAAATAATACGACTAGTTTAGGATATACAGATATATATTAGCTTAGCTACCAACCATTAAGTGTGGCATTTATGATATAATTGTGATGATATACATCTGCAGTAAACAAGCACGTTCGGTTGAAAGGGAGACATTTATAGCAGCGAAGTGAGTGGCCGCATGTTCTAACTTTGCTTATGCAAATGAACTTTAAATATAATCAAATTAAGTAAATGCTTTTGTGATATATTGTTTCTTGTATATTAAACGAAACTTAGGTATGTATATCAACTCGCCATCAAACGTAAAATTTTGGCGAGTTTAAATTTCAGGCAATACCTATGTATGTAAAATTTCATAGAATAAATTTGTTAAAAAAATATATTCGATTATTTGTTTTCACGAAGTATCTTAAACCAAATTTATCAATGGAGTAAGTAAAGTTTTGCTTTATAATGACATTGGTACGAATAGTAATCAAGATTAGATTGATAAGCACTTTACTACTCATCTTACTAATATTATAAAAGCGAAACTTTGTGTGTTTGCGTGTATGTTTTTTACTCAATCACGTCAAAACGGTCTGTAATAACACAGGGGGTACTTTTTATCTCACGGGTACGTGATCGAAGTCGCGGGCAGATGCTAGTAGATACTAAAAATATAACACTGCAATATCAGAACTTTTGAACAAATACTTTCTGGTTAGGTATGAAATAAAGTTTATTCTATCCTACTGCTGCTTAACTAAGTAACTTTACTAATAAATTAATTAAGTATTTGTCCAAATTTATTAATGAAAATAATATTAAAATATTACTAACTTTATTAACAACTAAAACTACCACAAAGTTCAGTCGAAGGCCCAATAATCTCAAAAATCGTCACCACTCGACACTGGCAGTATAGTCGACAACACTGCATTGGAGACTCCGTTGCCAAAAAGAAAAAAAAAACTAAAAAAAAAAAAATTATTTACCATGTAGTTGTAATGGTTCATTGGTTTTTATTGCACCAGGTAAGTTAAAGCTACATATTATTATTGTGTTTCATGGAGTTTCGATTTGAACTTCTGACCTTTACAATTCTATGCACGAGTTGACCGTACTATTGTTTGTTTTGAAACACATTCGCCGTTCTATAAAGATATGTGATTTTTATAAACAAAAGAAGAATAATAAGGTTTCCATATTGAAAGTGGCCAGCTTGCCACAGATAACATAAACATTATATAATAGTATGCTTTTTATTGGGAATGGTTTTATTTTATTCACGTAGATACTTTTTCAAGTGATCACAGATACTAATAATAATTTTAAAGAAAATAAAAAGGAAGAAAGAAGTTATCCTGTTCATCCACCTTATTTGAGAGTAGAGTAGTGCTTGTTGTAAAGAAAACTAAAAGCAAATTCACATAAACACAAGTTTATTCATACACCATGCCTATTTACATTGACAGACTACAATTACTTACTAAATAAATAAACAGTGCGATTTTCGTCGTGGTATCACAGTCCTCCCGGTTTAAGCAGTCGTTTCGTCGGATCGATGTCTCATTAGCTAAAATTGCTTTGAATTCGCAAGCGAACGCATTGAAAATGCGGTCAGTGTTTCTACCCTTCTAAATACGACCTTTGAATAATCCTTGCACGTCTCTTTTTACATCTTCCTTTGAAATAACAGTAACAGGTCTATTTATACTGGTTCTGAGTTCTTTAGCTGTTTCTTTTGATCTCTCTAACTAAGATGGTCTTTTTAATTTTCTTACTTGGTCACCAGAATCCTGTTAATTGAAATCCTTTTATGCAAATAGCGGGATCTTCTCCTACAATAAGCATAGTATCGCATAAACTGAGGTATCCCTCGCCATGCCAGCTGATTACATTTGTCTACCAGGTCCTTGCCATATCAATTCTTGGTTCCTTTTCCCATCACTAGTACACAAGTCACGTGCGTTAGTTTGCGAGTTCAAAACGATTAGCTATGTGAGTTTTCAGTGAGATCAGTAGTGGTAGCCATTTCCATTCCCTCCCGAACCGGATCCGCCGTTACCGGAACCACCGCCGCCGCCATTGTAGGATCCCTCACTGAAATAGAAAAAAAAAATACAATTAGTCTATGCTACGTGGGCGTTGTATTGTCATAAGCAAGGTATATTTGTGTGGTAGTACGGCTTAATTAATCGATTTATATGTCATATTATTCAAAAGGATAGCCAGAGAAACATGTATTAGATTTTTTCTAATTCTATTTTATTACGTTTTCTCATCAATTACCATTTTCATTTTCCTAAGACATAAATTGAACCCGAGGATCCTTGCTCGGCAGTAGTACTAGAACCAATTAGGAATTTAACTTTAAAGTATTCTACTTTCAGAATAGGCCCTCTAGTGAACTTTAAAACATTTTGGTCGTATAAAAATCAAGATATAAAGTTCTGATATGATCGAAAAGTTTTAAAGAAGAAAAAAGCAGGTATATAAATGAATGTCTACTAGAGCAATAGTACTGACTATTCAAGTCAATTATTTGATCTCTTTTTTCATTGTGAACTGTGATGTAGGATTTTATTTCACTCCTTAGTCCAGTAAAGTTCAACTCTACAGCCCTTTGCAAAGTTTCACAAGTCCGAAGCTCTTTATAACGGTTAGAGTTTCTGCTCTTATTAGATAAGTTAGACTTTAAGTCTCAACTTATTCAATAGCCTTTTTATATTAGGAAAAAGAATCTTCATTATTTCACGAGATCGCAGAAAAATGGTATCTTTGTTTTTAGTTTCTGTATCAAAATTGAAATGATTATTAGGTAATGTAGTGGATATATACCGCACTAAATGTTATATAATTATGTTTAACACCTGTTACCATACTACATGTTGTATATATGTATAACACCAGTTATTTATCATTAATTAAAAGACAGAAACAAACTTCATTGCGCTTCGACAGTTTTATGGTTACAAGACTAAAATATTTTTCCAAATCAGTCCAGTAGTTCCCGAGATTAGCGCGTTCTAGCAAATAAACCATTCAGCTTTATATAATAGTATAAGAGTATAAGATGATAAGCCCAGGTTGCCTCACGATATTTTCCTTCACCGTTTGTCAGTGGTGTTTAAATAATCTTCACACACAAACATTACACTAATATTAATAAGATTACTTTAGGTACAGGGTACAGTTACAAGGAAACAAACTAAAAAGCCGTAACCAACTTGATAAAGTTAGTACTTACGATGAGGGGTTGCGTTTGTTGAACTCAATGGAGCGAAGGATTTCTTCAGGAATGGGAGGTGGGGTAGGTAGATGGGGTCCGACGGGGTGGAAACCGTTCTCATCAGCAGTGTAGGTGAGGGAGATCTGCTGACCATCAGGAGTTTTGAAGGAAAAACCTCCCTCAGCCGTCACCGCAGGACCTTCGGGACCCTGGGCACTTGGTTTTCCACTCTCGTGCGCTGATATGCCATTGCCGGTTTCGTAACTGCAAAACGAAATTGTAAGGTTTTTGGGAAAAAGTTATGTATCTATTAGTATCTTTGTTTTTCAAGAATATTTGATTGAATAATCAAAAATAGCTTCGGTAATTCTAACATGAAAGGAGAAAGAGAATTTGATCTATTACATTTTCGGATCACATTGTTAATAAATAAATCATACTCGAAATGGTAAGTTCCGTCGCCGTTGTTGACATTCTCGAACTTGGTGATTGGTATTTGGTTGCCACTGCCGCCGCCGCTGCCGCCTCCAAATCCTGATCCGCCAGATCCTCCGAAGCCACCACCGGATCCTCCTCCTGCACCCCCAGCGCCCCCAAAACCACCCCCTGCACCCCCACCAGAGCCCCCAAAGGAACCACCTCCCGCTCCTCCACCAGATCCACTACCAGCACCACCTCCGAAACCACCACCTCCAGGTCTCGGTGGCAGGTACTGGGGTTCCAGACGACCACATGACCCAAACGCTATGAGCGCCAATGAGAAGATCAACTGAAAGAAAAATAATGTGTCAACAATATTGAAAAAGAAAATATTATGAACATTACTTAGTATTTACCCAATTATTCTCCTTTACTTTTCCCTGTGTAAAAGAGCTTTTTGTTGTAACTATTAATAAAACAAGATGAATCATTACTGAGACTAACTTTCATACAGGTAACAGCAAAGTTCCATACAAATGTTGAATTAAGTTTTGAGTACTAAGTAAAAGTTTGTTTTCAGTTCAGCAGGATGAAAAATGGTTAAATTTGCATAAAATAATTGATGAAATTTTACTAAAGTTACTCAAAGCTCATTGAAAAAAACTCATTGTCACAATTAAAACTATTAAGTTAAAGTTCGATGTATCCAGGATTCTTCAAGGAAAGGATTAAAGTAGCTTGCAGAGGATTCGTATCTTCACTGACTTACCACTGAAGTAGTCATGTCGTTAGATATTTTGTACTAGAGGACAGGCGCTCTTTGTTGTTCAGCTGTTTGCTGAATACTGTAGGCGAGGATGTGCCTCGTTTTATATTGCTCCGATTTGCCCTTTCTCGGTTGCTTCACCTTGTGCGTGCTCCGCCGATATCGCGAGTGCATCCGCGCCTCGTTGCCCCACGCCTCAAGCTCACAAACATTTAGCTAGCCTGGAATTCCCTTTACGGATGTGTTCCTATTAACTAACCAAAACCAATTTACCCTCAGGGAGTTCACAGAAATCTTCACTCCACGTGCTGTATATGGGTCATTATAATGTGCTAACTTGTTGCAGCACCCACTAGTTCACACTTGCGAAAGCCTACAACTTCATGATTAAGTTGCGTTAGCTATTTCCATTAAGATTTTCTTAATGGCGCATATTGGACTAATACGAATATGATGTGTGAGTGTTCTAATAAGTTGAAGTTTGATCGACGGTATGCTAACATGGGAAAACTTGGTACCTTGCGACAATTTATGACATACATCAAACGTGCGGATGGTCGTAAAACATTTTAATAGTTAGGTAAAATCCACGACAAGGTGACATTTATGTTTTTGTTAGTATAAATAACTTAATATCGGTGTGCATAAGAATATGTGTGCGTAACTATAATAGGTATAGGGACATGCATTAATTGAATTCTTTTAGTCGAAGTTTTACAAGAAGAAAGAAACTGTAAAGTTTAAGTCCTATGAAAGTTCTTTAATGAAGATTCTTCCCTTGTTTCAATTTTATCATGATATTTCTTAAATAGGTAAGTACCTAATTTAATTTTTACACATTGTAAACAGAATAAACTGAGTTAATTTCCATTAGGTAAATTTCTATAAGTATTATAATTTAACAATAAGTTTTACGATGTATGTAGCAATTAATGTGAAAGCTATGAATGGTTGAGAGTCATTTTAGGTACATGCTTTTGCATCACTATCCTAGTTAGAGTAAAATATATGATTTCCTAATTTATCGTACCTATAGATAGCTAACGCGATCTAATCTAAAAAGCTTATCTCCGTTAAGTCAAACGAACTTTACTGAGACTGATACCTTGATTCCCATTTCCCAATAAATGAAAGTATTCATTGTTAGTTTTGCTGTTGGGAACTTTCAATTTCAAATAAGTGGGTGGTAAAACGTTGGTTTTGTGTAAATGTCACATAGCATTGAAGTTCGAGTCCGTGACCGTATGCGCGGGCGCTCCTCTCGCGTCAACGACTATTACTTGAAAATGATCTTGTTCCGATCCCGCAGTAGCGTCTTACGAAATAATTGATTTTTTATCGATTTATTTTATTTCATTTAATTTTTACGTTATCTTCTTATTATATCTTAACGTGTTGGTTAGGTGCTTGTAGTCCGATTAGACTTTAAGTAAGGGCCTAATTAATGCATTTTGATTAACCAAGTGCAATTCCTTATATTCTTTGTAGTTATGTAAAACCGTTTCGTGTCTGGTCACGTAAAATTTTTCTCATATCTAAACCAACTTTTAAAATTCCATATTATCATCATCATTCGTTCAGCTTCGTCCATTGTTTTACATATACCCTTATTTAGTAGCATTCCACTAAACTCGTTAAAATTTTCGTCCTTTCACATCCAGTCACTTCCAGTACTAGATTAAAGGAAGGAAGACACCCTATACTACATTTGCTTAATAATGGTCTTTGATCTGGAATAAACCCAAATTATTGCCACACTACTACTTCAATCGATCGTTTCATTTTGCAATCGGTTCTTCAAAAATTCTGAGCACTGAATTTCGATCAATATCGTACTTGGATATAGGTATATTGTATGTAGGTAGTATCTAGCATAGTCATGTATATCAGTAACCGACCACACGTTCTCATATTAACAACAAAATGCAGTGCAAATTCTAAATTGATTGATATCATTAATTTTAATAGAATGCGAGCAGTTCTTTAATGAACTGTGTACATGATAGGTGCAGATAAACGCAGTGCGGTTTAGATTTTAATTGGTAATTGGTCACAAGTTCTCGACGGACGCCGACTGGTGTGGACGAAGTAAAAGATGATGGATGACGATGAGCCAGTACTTATTAATTAACGTGCCATGCCATATACCAACGACCTATAAAATATCTAGTTGACTCCACTTGCATAAGTTTAATGGAATATTCTTAAAGAGCATCGCGTTTTCCTTGATACTGTTCAGTTGTATTTCGTTAATACAGGGCGTAAACGGAACGCTGACAGAAAAATAGTACATACAATTTAAATCTTTTTTGTTTACATGCAACAACAGTCTTGAGCGGTTGATTACAGCTTACACAAAAGAAACATTTACTTAACTTTTCATTACTACTCTACTTTTTTCTTAAGGGAGGAGAATTATCCAATGATTTCTTCCAACATAAATAAGGCGAGAGAGAGAGAGTTACTGACTAGAACAACCCCGTTCCTACTTCTATTTGAGTCAAAGCCCCGATAGCCACTAAGATGTCTACAGCTCCGGGTATTATTACTCTACCTGGACTCACTATAGCTATTGTAAAATACATTTTATTTTAATATATAGTCCTAAAAGTGTACCATGTGTGATAAAGCGTGATCCGTGGAGTGATCTGTTCCCGTGGGATAAAAGTTTAAGTTTGTTGCGGATAATCGGAAAATACACCTGTATGTATTTATCTTAAGCACCGTTATGATTCACCTATTCCATCATTTAGCTATTGGTACCTGATGAAAATGGCCGTCTATAATATCAGCAAGATAATACGATCGGCCTCGATCACTGTATTTGAACCTGTGCTCGTATTATAAGAATATTGCGATCAGCTGCCATTATCATAAATTGGAAACACCTATCAAGGCTTGTTGTATAGCAGAAAACATACCTTAAGCTTCTTGTTACCCTTTCTACCTCTTTAGTATTAATCAGGGTAGCTTGATATACAAGTCTTACAACTTAATTTAATACTATACTATATTATACTAGCTACTTCCGCGCGGTTTCACAAGCTCTGCTCAGCTCCAAGTGGTTGTAGCGTGATGTTTTATCATCTATAGCTATCCTCGATAAATGCGCTATCCAACACAAAAAGAATTATTTAAGTCAGACTTGTAGTTACGGAGATTAAACAAACAAAAAACAAACTCTTCTGCTTTATATAATAGTAGGTATAAGGTTGATGGGAAGACGACTTGAACCAAGTAGCAGGTCTAGCAGGGCTAAAATGGTTACGTGTAGCAAAGAACAGAAACAAGTGAAAATCCTCAGAGGAGGCCTTTGTCGAAAGACAAGCTGTTGTAAGAGGAGAGAAACAGATTGCTGAGATTATGTTCGAGTAGTTTTTACTTTGCGTCATTACTTACCTCTGTGTTACAACTTTGGTTACAAAGGTTTTTTTCTAAATGAGAACACATAACACAGCAGAGGTGCACATTTCGGTACTTAATGCCACTGTACAATGTAACACTCACTTTTCACTATTTTTGTTATGAGTCCCATGTAATAGGGGGTGAGCCTATTGCCATATACCGGGCACATTTCCAAACTCCGTGCTACTACTGAGATTTTTAAAAACCCAGTTATACTTTGCCAGACCAGATAACTACAGTGATAATGGCTTATTTTATTTTATTTAATGATACAGAATAAAAGAAGTATCAAGATTAGTTCGGTAATACATTACTTAAATGTGACCTCATTATAATTGTTTTGGAATAGTAGAAAATTCTATAGGTATAATTAGTACATAAGTACGTATAATTCTATGTATTTTAAGTTTTTTTGACAAACGTTACCTTTTGTTGATATTACTTTGATAGTTCCTATTTTCTCTTCCTGTAGCGATTTCAACTCAACTCTGAACATTACTGAACTGTACCACATGTAAGTGTAACCATAAAATCAATCGACGAAATGCCATCGATATGTTTAGCAGATAACATCTAATAAACATAAAATATTAGGTTCGTCATTGCATCTTATCGTGGTACAATAAATCACGGCAAAGACTGTATGAAATATTTAAGGTGAGCGGGTTGAGGCGCCCGAGGCACCATACTATTTGTGCACTTCTGCAATCTTTAAATGTAATGCCTGATGGGAAAATATCTATAGATATCAATTGATAAATCTATAAAGTATAGTATTTGCGTGATTTCTATACGATTTCTTCAACGGAGTTTTGAAAAATTACTTTTTACTAATCTGTGTATAAAACTAAAGAGTATCTTTGTTTTTTTAACGTGCTAATCTCTGTAACTACTGGCTCGATACCGAGCGAATACACAACTTAAAATTCTTGCAAAGAATCGGATCTTTCAGCAACTGAAGTGATACTACTTTCAACTGGAGTTTCTTGCTCGTTCTTCTCCATAGGAATCTACACTTTGGAACGAGCAAGTAGCTTCACTAGAGGACTGACCTACAGACGGACATTTTTTCTTATTATTTAATATTTAAATATTTTGTTTTGACGTTCAAATGTGCCTTCCTGGTCTAGTTGAAATAAATGATTTTGACTTTGACTTTTGACTTAACTTTTTTGTGTTACTTTTCCAATATGCGATCAGTATTCGGTATTGCTCATTTGTCCCTAACCCATAAAAATTAAGAAAATATCAAGATGAAGGCGATATAAAAACGTCTAAGGATATTAAACCTTGTACTTATAACTCCGTCTGCTGAGAATATTGTTATTTGTTACATTGTATCTCGGCAGCTTCAGTTAAGGGAGCTCACAATGAAGCATTGATTGGCAAAAACAACAGCTACCAACGAAACAATGGGAGTTCTGACTTTCCATTGCCACATAATCGGTGACTTCTGATTACTGACATCAAATGATTTTTAATCACTTTGTTGAATTAACAAAACATGACTGATATTATCGTTTAATTAAATACAAACATACAATAATTAGTATCTTTTCCCATGAGATATTGTACGCAGTGAGAATGTATATTTTAACGGTGGATAGTAATGG